TACTACTGGCTATTTCTCCTAGAAAATAGGGGGTTGGGGGAGGGGTTTGGAGCAAATGCTGCTGCTTTCAGGGGCTGGCTGGTGGGTGCTGGGGAGATCTGGGTCCGGTGGGCGCTGTTCATCTGTCTCTTTCAGTCTCCTGCTCTGCCTCCGCCCTGCCTCCGCCCTGCACTGCCCTGCACTGCCCTGCCCAGCCTGGATGGGGGAGATATCTAGAGGAAGGGACTTAGTCATCTTTTCTTCCTGTTCTCACCCTCGCAGAGTAAGGGCAGTCTTAAGACCCTGGACCCACCCATCTTTCTCTTCCCACCCTCCTTCATCAGTCTGAGCAGTCCCCAGGTGTAACTGGTGATCTGAAAACTGAGCATGTCCCCTGAGCCCTGTGCTGGACAGCTCACCCAGACAGAGGCACAGTCACTTTGGGCAGAATGTGGGTATACAGGGCACCTCCGCTACTCTGAATAAGCTCTTAGAGACCTTGTACCAGAAGTTCAAGGAAAGGAATTTCAGGGGATCACATATCCAGACTATCTCGGAGCTTGTTCCCCATCTCCTCCCAAGGATTGTGGAGCTTTGGAACAAGCTTAGAGAGTGCCTGCAAGTGACCTTGGACACAATCTTTCTTTAGCTGCCCTCCCTCCCTGGTCCGGCTGAGTCCAAGTCAGCTGCTCTAACTTCCCCCTCATAGTTCCCCATGTCCTTCCAGCCTGTCTGCTGGCTTCAGCTCAAAAACTGGATAGAGAACCCCCACCCCTTCCTGCCTCTCTCTCTGTTGTGCCTCGAATTGTGCTCTCTGGGAAATGAGACTGACACCCTCTCTCCCTCCAATCTCCAGGTCCCTGAAATTGCAGGTGTTTCAGGGGCATTTTGCTCCCAACTCCTGGGTCCATTTCTCTAGCCCAGTGGTCGGCAAACTGCGGCTCGAGAGCCACATGTGGCTCTTTGGCCCCTTGAGTGTGGCTCTTCCACAAAATACCACATGCGGGTACTATGTACAGTGCGATTGAAACTTCGTGGCCCATGTGCAGAAATTGGTTTTCGGCTCTCAAAAGAAATTTCAATCGTACTGTTGATATTTGGCTCTGTTGACTAATGAGTTTGCCGACCACTGCTCTAGCCAGTATCCCTAGCTCCTAACCTTGCCCATGATGGTTTCCTTTACCCTGGAGCCGTTGGAGTGGAGGCTGAGGAGCAGACTGGCTGAGGAGAGAGCCTGCAGGGCCTGGGGTGGTTGGCAGTGTACCACATCACTCATCCCTGGCACTCACCTGGTGTTGCCAAAGCCCTGAGCCTGTGCCCTGGCCCCACTGCTGAGGATCATGAGTTGACCAGTTGGCCAGGTGTCTCTGTGGTTTTCTGTTGACTGCACTCCAGACAGCTGAGGGCTGATGCTGGCAGAGAGGAGCTACAGGGGCTTTGGGGGAGGGACAAGGAGGGAGGCAGGAAGGGTGAAGCGTCTGGGCTGCAGGAGAGGACATTATCCCAAGATCTGCTTTCTGCCCAGTGAGTGACTATTCTGGCCCTGCCCCAGGGTCAGCAATGCATATGGCCAGCAGGAATAGTGGAGCCCTTCCCCTTCCTAATGAGTGAAGCCTCAGGGTAGCGATGGGTTTGTTCACATTCTGCTGGCTGGTTGGGGCAGGCCAGACTGGTTTGTGTGTGGGAGGTGGGCCCGTCTCTGGGGTGAATGTCCGGGCTGGCTCTGAAGTCCCGAGCTCTGAGTGCTGCCCTTGTCCTGTGTCCTCCAGGTGAAGAGCGAGGGGCCCAAGCTGGTGCCCTTCTTCAAGGCCACCTGCGTGTATTTTGTGCTCTGGCTGCCCTCGTCCAGCCCGTCGTGGGTCAGCGCTCTCATCAAGTGCCTGCCTGTCTTCTGCCTCTGGCTCTTCCTTCTGGCCCATGGCCTAGGATTCCTGCTCGCCCACCCCAGTGCCACACGCATCTTTGTAGGGCTCATCTTCTCCACCCTAGGTGATGCCTTCCTCATCTGGCAGGACCAGGGCTACTTTGTACACGGTCAGTTGCTGCAGTAGCTACCTGGGAGGAATCCTGGGGTTGGGGGCCAGAGAGTCCTAGAGGGCTAAGGATTTGGGAGCTTGGGAACAAGAATATGGGGAATCTGAGGGGTTTTGAGACCAATAACTGTGGGGCCCCCTATTGGAGGATGACCTGGCTGGTGATCTAATGATCAGTTTTGTAGTTCCTCAGGGGAGTTGGGGTCTTTACCTTTGTGGATTTCCTCCCACCCCTGTTCCTCCCAAAACAGAGCTCCTGGGTTATCCCAAATAACTCGATTCCCTCCCCGCCCCTGTACTCATCACTCACCTAAGCCTGCCCTCAGCAGCGCCTCATTCTCTCACTCCCAGGTCTACTGATGTTTGCTGTGACCCACATGCTCTACGCCTCAGCCTTTGGCATGCGGCCATTGGCTCTTCGGACGGGTCTGGTGATGGCAGCGATGTCGGGCCTGTTCTATGCCTTCCTCTACCCAGGCCTCTCGGGTCCCTTCACCTACTTGGTGGGGGCCTATGTGGCCCTCATCAGCTTCATGGGCTGGCGGGCTATAGCAGGGCTACGGCTGGTCGGGGCGGCCTGGCGCTGGACTGAGCTGGCGGCTGGCGGTGGTGCAGTGCTCTTTATCATCTCTGATGTGACCATCGCTGTCAACAAGTTCTGCTTTCCCGTGCCCTACTCGCGGGCACTCATCATGTCCACTTACTATGCTGCCCAGATGCTCATTGCCCTGTCAGCTGTTGAGAACCGGGAGCCAGTGGAAGACTACAGACTGAGCAAGGCCAACTGACAACCCCACGGGCTAGGGCCTGGTCACCTGTCCTCTCCTGGAACTGGGGTCCAGAACCTGGGAACCTGCAAGAGTTGGCTCAGGATGGCTGCAGTTTCAGACTGAGGCAGCAGGTGCCACCTGGAAAATGGACATGTTTGATGGGGTGAGCCGGAAAAGATCTCTAGCAAAGCTGGTGGTCGAGGACAATGCTGAGAGCTTAAGAGTCAGGCCAGTATTCCTTGCTGGAGCCAGAAGTAGACATCTCCCCCCTCCACCCCATTGGGGTTGTCACAATCCCTCTGGAGGGTGATGGTGCTCAGCTTCTTGACCTCCCCCCACTTCTTCTAGATGGAAGAGTCTAGCTAACCCACTTTCTGATCTATGTAGAGTTGAGGGGGAGGTGAGAAATCTGTGCTAAGGCTTGAAGCCCCTTTCAAAGGCCCATAGTTGGGAAGATTGGATGGAGTGGAGTCTCCCTTTCCCTCACCTATCCTGTTACTTGAACAATCGCAATCTCTGTGTGGTGGGTAGGAAAGTGTGTGACCAAGTAGGCAAGAGAGGGGGATTCATTGGCCTGGGAGCTTGGGGTATCAAGGACTCACGTTGGTCCCATCTCTCTCAAAGGCCAGCCTAGAGCTCAGGCCCCATATCACCACCCTCAGACCCTATCCCCAGGGCTAGGGTGAACCATGCCAAAGGAAGGGGCCAGCCTGTGTGCGTCTATGTGTGTGCAATTTTGTCTCCCAGCCTGTGTCTTTCTCTGCCATCTGTCTCTGTTCTGCTGTTAATGTCTTATAGGGAGAGGCCTCAGGGAGCTGCTGAAGGGATATTGAGCCTGGCTTGGAGAGCTGGGAGTCCCCCCAAACACCCCCAAGTTCTTTCTTCCTTCCACTCCTGCACTGGGAGCAAGAGGAGGGGGGCTCCAATGACACTCTAGGGGCACAAGACCCAAGGCACATTCAATGCAAGATGAGCAAGGATGAGACAACTCCATCCTTTATACTGTTCATATGAAAAAATAAAAATAAAACCAAGGGCCGCTGGCTGCCCTGCTTGTCTGTGTGGCACTTGCCTATCCTGGAGAGGAGGGTGTGGGGGCATGGAGCCAGGGGCCCTGGATGTCCTCATAGTCTGGGTCACAGTACTGGCCAGTGCATCTTGGCGCCAGGCTGGTTCCCTGGCTCTGGTAACACTGCTGGTTGGAGTGGGTCTCACTTCCCTGGTCACATGTGTGGGTGAGAATGTAGTTCAGGAGGATGGGGGATGGGTAGAATTTAACTCTGTCCAAATTTGTCCTGAGGCACTTGCCTGTGCATGGGTGTCCAGCATCTTTGGTGGTCCTTAGTTACCCAGTGTCCTCCTGCTGCCCACCTCCTCCCTGCCTCACCCTAGGCCTGCTGTCTGTTCCAAACGATCCAGATTTCCTTCAACCATCTTCTCTCTTCTTAGACCCAGGGCTCAGTTGAACAGCATGGAGGAATGGGATTAGACTGGGTCATTCATGCTTTTGATGGGAAGCCCTGGTAGGATTATGTTTCTCCCATACTCCAGGGATATTTGCATCTTAATGGGCAGTGCTCTGACCCAGAATTTGAAAGGTAAGCCTTGGGTGGTTTTGAATAGTAAAGAGGTTGTATAGTTATGGGGATATGGCAGAAGGCAATGCAGGTCCCTTGTGGGTATTGAATGAATCAGTGATTTTCAAAAAAGGGTTTTTACAAAGAGCTCTGGTGGGAGACAGCAAAAGAATAAGTAAAGGAGGGAGGCTCAAAGACCTCTATCCCTGCTTTTTTTTTTTTTTTTAAAGGGAAGGATTCCACTGCAAAAACAAGTTTGAAACCAAGAGCAGGATGACTAATCCTTTCTATCTCTGAGATGCTCTAGTTCTCAAACGTTGGGAAGGTCCCGAAGCCCTTCAAACCCCAGAACTTTGATGACAGACCTACATGATATAAAGGAATGGGAGGGACAGGATGAGGAGAAGATGAATCAGGCAAGACTTGCCCACCCATGCCAGGAGAGAAGGGGAGGGTGCAGTGTGGCTATGGAGGAGAAGAAGGGGAAGGCAAAGGTCCAGTCAAGTGGAGGCTGGTCACTCTCTCTGTGGGTGAGTTTGGACAGCAGTCTGGGTTGTATGAATCTCCATTCCTCTTCTACTTCCATCTCCTTGGTCCCTGCTGTACACCAACTGTACACCACCCTCAGAGACAGGAAAGGATGAGCTTGCTCAGTTTATTGTTCCATCCCTTCATTGAGTGTTTACATTGACAAGCAACAAAGAGCAAACTGGGTTTCCCTCAATGAAGCCATATAGAGGACAGGCCAAGAGGACCCACATCATAACATCCTGATGCCGGGACTGGGATGGAGCTCACATAAGGTACTTTGATTTCTTCTGCAGGCTCTCGGTGACTGATGCTAGAATTGTCTTGTCATCCTTGTCTGAAACAGCAAGGCAAGTGTTTGTTAGTTTAGTGATGCCAGGGGTAAGGGAAACTCCACATAGCTGGTTACTATGCAGGAACTGCCTGGGACTCTCAATTCTTCCCTGGGGCTGGGCCCCAGTTCTAGTCTTCCAAGGTCAGCTGAGTGTGTGTAGCCAAGAGCTGCCAGTTATTCAGCACTTAATACTGTGCCAGGCACTTCCATGCACTATCTCACTTAAGCCTCACAACAGCCCTAAGAAGTAGATGAGAAAATAGGCACAGAATGGTTTGCCAAGGTCACTCGTCTGGTCACTGGTGGAGCCAGGGCCCTGGCCCATGTGTTTAACAACCAGAATTGAGTTGTCAGGGATCTCTCTCCAGCTGTGGTATGAAATCTAGCTATCTCCCACAGTGCCTTCCTTGGTCTAGTTCTGTCACATAGTTCAGCAGCCACTCTGAAGGCATCACCTCAGTGTGGCAGGCATGTAGCTGACTTGAGAGCCAGAGCAACAGGACAAGGTTCTTTCCCCAAGGAAAGGCATCTATAACAGGATGAAACAGATCTATAACTAGGGAGACAATGGACTTCAATGGACTGTCATGAAGAGTTCAGGGAGTACAGTGGATGAAGCTTGGAGAGGTAGTTGTGGGTGGGGTGGAGCCTTGTTGGTTGAGATTTTGTTGAGAGTATCATGGGAAGGCGAGGGAAGTTCGGCAGGAGGGAACAAGGAAGGTCAGCTTTGCATTTAGCTATGCTACTAGCTGTGTAGCTATGAAGACAGTAGACTGTGTAGGAAGGAATAACATACTTCCCCTACATGTGCACACACAAGCAGAAATGTGGCACATACATGCAGAGTATGGGCATCCACTAGGTTCCCTTTAGCCCTCTCCTCATTTGTGCATCCCATTTCCCCTTATCCAAGACCAGTAGTTTTCAGTCTTGGATCACTTGCAAACATTTGTAACCTGAAGATTCCATGACTCTGCCAGAGAGATTGTGACTGGGGAGTCGGTGTCTTTTTCAAGGCAAGTCTAGGCCTACCAAAGGTGGCAAACTACAGTCGCCTGAGGGTTTGCCAACTCACATCTGCAGGGGCCAGGCACATAACAAATGACATTGAGGGTGGAGAGTGGTACCAAATACGGCCAATGTTTAACCACCTGATGGCAGATTAAATACAAAACATTGCCAGCCATGTGGAGTCAACAACCTCCAGGATTGCCATTTGGTGCCTCTGCCCCAGATGGGAAGCAACCCGTTTCCCATGCCCACTGCACCCCGGCTCCTCCTGCAGCGCTCTCACCATAGACAGTGAATGTGCAGCCGCTGCGGTCCTTGCCCAACTCGTTCTCCACCAGCACGCTGTACTCGCCGCTGTCCTTGAGTGTGCAGGTGGGGATGACGATGGTGCACACCCCGCTAGTGGAGTTGTACCAGAACTTGGAGTTGGCTGTGATGTTGACGTCACCCTTGTAGAGAGTCACGGTGGGCTGGGGGTTCCTGAGGAAGGCACAGGTCAAGGTGCAGTCCTGGCCGCGCAGCACCGTGTGGGGCTTGAGCAGAGTCAGGAAGCGCGGCGCGTGGCGCCAGTCCTTCTTCTCATACGGCTTTAGCTTGGCGCTCAGGTCTTCGACTGCGAGGAGGGAACGCAGAGGCTGTGAGCATCTCTGGGTCCCTACCAGCTCAGAAGGTGCCCTTGAGACCCAACACGTGGAATTTTGATAAGCTGGGTTAGATTCCCAGATGCCACCAACTTTGGGGACTGACTTTTTATTGCTTCCTAAAGTTCTACCACCCCCTTCCCACCCACCTTACCACTTCAGGGTTTTATATTGTACTTTCCAGATCCTGGAGTCCTAGACTTCTTTCTAGCCACCAGCTTCCAAAAACTGAGGTGTTCTCCTGCTTTTAATTCCCCCTCCAAGCGTTCCTCAGTGTCCTCTCAGTTCTCTCCTATATAGACTTGCATTTCACATTTCTTTACACTGTCCCTGCCGTTAACCCCTTCCCCCCACAGTTGCTGGACTTCATGCCCACTCCCTGCTCCTTGGAGACCCTTCCCAGTCCTCACTGCCTTCAGCCCCTGGGCTCAGGACCACTCTCAGCACTACACCCTGCCCCTCCCCCTGGCCCAATACTGTCCCCCAAGGGTACCTCCCCACCTCCATCTTAGTCTCACTCCTCAGTGTACCCCAAAGGTGGCTTCTCCTTTAGGCTTCCTGACCTTAATTGCTCTGCCCAGCTTCCCAATGTTCCCACTCCCACCTCAATGGTTCTCTGATTTTACCTTAAATCCCTGGTACCCTCTTGCATCAGGGATCTCAGGCATAACCTGAGCCCCTAAACACCCTGACTCACTCTTGTCCTTGTTGATGTGCCAAGTGTCCTTGGAGTCCAGTGGATCACTGTCACCGATTTCGTTCTGAGCCAACACGCGTAAGTAGTACTTCCTGCCAAGGAGCAACCGGGTCACCGTGTACTTGTTGCTGAAGACGCGCTCGGCTGCTGTGAACCAGGTGGCGGTGCTCGCATCCCATTTCAGGATGACATAGTGGGCCTCACCGTCCTCCTGCACCACATCGGGGCTGTGGTTCCAGTTCAGGGTCACAGTGTTGGGAACCTCCTCAAACAGCTGTAGATTTGTGGGTGGCTGTGGGAAATCTGGAATAGGCAGAGGGTCCATCAGCCCTGAAGGGTTTAAGGCTTTATGTAAGCTTCCAGCACTCTCTAAACTTTCATTTTTTAAATAACTGACTTGTCTTACAAACTGAGTCTTTTTTTTTTTTTTTTAGTATGTTTTTATTAATTTTAGAGGGAGGAAGGAGAGAGAGATAGGAACATCAATGATTAGAGAGAACCATTGATTGATTGCCTCCTGCACTCTCCCTACTGGGGACCCAGCCCGCACCCTGGGCATGTGCCCTGATCCGAAATGACCTGGTGACCTCTCAGTGCGTGGGAGACACTGAACCAACGGGGCCACACTGGCCAGGGTCACCCCAGTTTTTAACCGATTATCTTCCTCTGTACCTCCTGCCTGTCACCCATTCTCTGCTGTTTCTCTGAACCTACTCTACATGTGTCCTGAAGCTCACCAGGTATGGTAGCAGAAGCTGAAACAAGGGCTTGGTCCTAGTTCAGTGCCCTTGGAGCTTCAGGACAGTGAGGAAAAGTGGCAACAACCCTTCCCATTAGGGCAAAGGCAGATAAAGTCTTACTCTGTGGCACCAAAGAGGCCTTCACCTCCTGAAGGCATGACTGTACAGCGGTAGGAAAGGAAGCACAGAGGGAGCTACACTTTGGAGACTGTGCAGTGATGCTCCTTGAGGCCTCTGCCACCGTCATACCTGCCACTCTCACGTGGATGTCATAGTGTGCCTCTCTGAACTCATCCTGGAGCAAGATGCGGTACACCCCCGAGTCAGAGTGCTTGGTGCTGTTGATGAGGAACTGGGAGTGGTTTTTGCCCTTGGTGATAGCTTTCCTGCCCTTGGTGGGGATGCCATCTTTCTGCCAGATCACACTGGGAGGTGGTGAGCCCTGGTGGTGACAGGAGATGGCACCAGGGGTCACCCAGGTGGTATTTGGGGGCAGGTTCTCCCCCAATGTTGAGGAGTCTCCTGCCAGGCTCTGGTGTCAGGCGCCTGGAGAGGGGCAGAGGCAGAGACTACAGAAACTACAGCAGCCATCTTGGTTAAGTGGTGCACCTTGGTTAAGTGGTGCACCAGGGTCCGGAATGACTCACGGAGAAGGCAGCATGGATGCAGAGGGCTGTCCCAGCACGAACCACCATGTGACTCCTCAGCGGGGCACTGAGGTCAAATTTGGGGGCAGCTGAGATGAAGGAGACAGATATTGGGACATGCATCTCTCTTTCCAGAAGCCTCAGTCTAAGCCTCCCCTCCAAAGCCTTTTCCAACCTTTCCTCCTTTATGCCCTCATCATAGGCCATAAAGACATCTAACAGCTCTGCATGGCTGTGAAGCATTTATCTGTTTTCTCATCGGTCTTCCTCTAATTGTATGTAAAACCCTTGAGGATAGGTCGAGTGTTTTGTTTCATTATCCCTCACACCTCCTTTGGCACACAGTAGGCACTATTTGGCACATATGAGGTGTTTTTTTGTTTTTTGTTTTTGGAAGCCCCTAGGATCACCCCTGGCTCTATCCAGGCACAGCAAGTATGGATGACTTTTTCCTGATCACAGTATGACCCAATTTCCCCCTGTGGAATGAGGTCCCAGCGAGGAAGGTTTGGAAGCTGGGATAAACCCTGGCCCTCTGTGCTCTCACCTGGGGGTGGCATGGCACGGACCCCCTCGTCCAGCTCCATGGGCTCCCCAACCCCAGCCTCATTCACAGCCCGGATTCAGAAGAAGTATTTCTGCCTCTTGGTGAGGCCTCCCACAGTGTAGCAGGTGCCTGAGATGGGATCTTTGTGCACTTGGACCACTCTTTGGAGTCTTCAGCTTGCATCTCCAGGATGTAGCCAGAGGGTGGGTCTCCCTCTGCTGGTTCCCGCCAGGCCAGGGAGATACTGGAGTTGGAGGAATCAGAAACGTGCAGGCCCTGCACCAGGCCTGGGGGTTCTGGGGCACAACACGCATCCAATCAGCCCCCAAACTCGTTTTCACTCAATCCTGTGCCAGTTCCCACATTCAGTGGCCCTGAAAACTAACTTCACAACTTCTCTCTCCATTCTCACAGTTAATACCCTCAATACCTGACCTTGCACACTCAGCAATCTCCAAGTTCAATTCTCCCACTTGACTCAACACGTTCACCCTTGAAGTCAGTGTCCTCCAAATTCAGCATGTTATACATATTCCACCCCTCTACATACAACCCCCCAACCTTTAACCCAACTATCTCCACCACATCCTTTCACATGCAACCTCGCCACCTCAACTCCTAAATTCAACACTCACCATCTACCTAGCACCACTACCCCATCCTCAACCATGCTTCTACTACCTCACTTAATACTCCGAGTTTAATAAAAAAAATTTCCCCCCCCCCATCCTGCCTCCTCATTGTCTCTGGCTCTCAATATTTATTTATTGGCTTTCTTATGTGTCTGAATTCTGTCTCTCTGATAGGCTGGAAGCTCCCAGAAAGTGAAGACTCCTTGATACTTGCCCCCTCCACACCCCATTACACTTTCCCATAGAAGCATTCCTCTTTCTATGGTGAATAGGCTAATTCCACTATGTGTTGGGGTCTGGAAGCCCCTAACTCACTGTCAGGGTCTCTGGCCACCAATGAGTTGGATGGTATACTGGGCTGTCCGGGGCCTGCCTTATTCACAGCTATAACTCGGAATTCACATTCTTTATCCTCCAGGAGACCATCCACTGTGCATTTGGTGCCTGAAATGGGAATTTGAGTGGTCATGAGGCCAGGAGGTCCACGCAGTAAGAGGGCAAGGAAGAGGCGGTCTTGGGTGCTATTAAAATCCCCAAAGGAGTTGGGGAAGGAAGTATGTTCAGATCAACAGGGGTCATGTTCCATCCAGCAAAGCCTCTCTTAGTCCCTTCCTGGACTCCGTCTCCAGGAACTCACCCTGGATGGGGTCCTTGTTGAATGGCACCCACAGGTTACTGCCTTTCTTCCTTTCTACAATGTAGCCGAGCACTGGGGCTCCCCCATCCTGGGTGGGTGCATTTCACGTGATGGTCATAGTCTCTTTGGTCACATCAGTCACTTGAGGCTGGGAGGCAAGACCAGGGGGCTCTGTAGGGGATGGAGAGAGGGCAGAAGTTAGGAGAGGGAGCACATAGACAGTTGCCCACCCCATGCTGACCTCTGGCTGCCTCTTTAAAAACATACGCTCAACTTAAACCCATGATTCTTAACTCTGGTTGCACATTAATATGAAGTGGGAAGAAGAAAAGAACAAAACATATCCCACCAATAATTAGTGTCTAGGTCCTACCTCCAGATAGTTTAAATTAAGATTGAGAATCACCCACTTAAACCTTCCAACATGTGTCACCCCCAATGCCCCAGTTTTTAAAAATGTGTGAGTGTGTGTGTGTGTGTGTGTGTGTGTGTGAGAGAGAGAGAGAGAGAGAGAGAGAGGCTGTTATTTATGCAATTTATGCATTTATTGGTTGACCTCTGTATGTGCCTTGACTGGGGATTGAACCCACACCTTGGCATATTGGAGTGACACTCTGACCAACTGAGCTACCCAGCCAGGTTGCTCCAGTTCTTAAGGTACTGTCTTGACAAGTTGGGACATGGGATCAGTTGGAAGGAATGTAGCAAATAATTTAGTAATCTTAATTGAAATATTGATGTTATCAAGGGTTTTCTTTGGAAAAAGAAATCTTAGCATGGATTAAGGTTATTCCTAAAGTAACATCTCTCACTTGGGTTTGGGATGGTTTCTGGAGTGGAGAAACCAAGTGGAGTCAGATGCCTGGAATTGTGTACAGTTTTGGAAATATACGCAGGAGTATGTTGTGCATGTGCTCTGACTGGGAAAAGTTGAGAATTCCTGCCCCAGAGGATATTTGGCTCTTACTCTGGAATCCGTCTGTCTCATGGGTGACTAGAGAAATGACCCTGTGAAATTCCCCACAGACCAGCATTCCTCACTGGCTAAAGGCCCCCGTCCTGAATCCTGAGTGTGCCACTGAGCTTGGGGCTATCTCACTGACTGATAGGATTTCCTGCAAACACTTCATCTGTCTCCAGAGGGTTTCTCACTCCTTCTGAGTTGACGGCCAGGATGCGAAACTGGTAGGCTTTTCCCTCTTCCACTTTGTTGGTGGAGAACTTGGTGTCTTTGCTGTCCACTTCGCCTATTTTAATCCAGGACTTCTTGCCGACTGCCCTCCGTTCCACTATGAACTGTGTCACAGGCCGCCCACCGTTGTCCTTTGGGGCCTTCCACTTCATGTGCACACAATTACCCGAGAGCTCCAGGAACTCCACTCGGCCCTGGGGAGGCTTGGGACGGTCTGAGGACAGAAGATGCCGTCAGCATGGGGCTTTGGAGCAAAGAGTCAAAGGGATTCATCCCACTTGCCTGTGGCCCAGCCAGACTAAATCATAGCTATTAATAGATTCTGAACTTTCCCTGTGTCCACTAGCCTTCCTTCTAAGACCTGTCCAAAGATTTGATCCTTGTCCCTCCGCCCCAGTCTCATGTCTGCCTCAGAGTGGGTAGGCTAAAGATCTGAGGGGCATTGTCAGACTCCCATCTTGTCCCCTTCCAGACAAGATCTTCCCCTCTTCTGAGCTTCCAGAACTCCAGTGTTCTCTGGTTATTAGACATGTTAGAATTACATGTCTTCAAGTTTCCCTTTTGGGTTGAGAGACTGCTGGGGATACTTCACCTCTGTGTCCTCGGGACTGAGAACACAAAGAAGGTGCTAATTTTGTGACTGGATTGAATCGAATCCAAACCTTCCCACCCCATGGCTTGATGGAAATGCAGGAGAAGGAGGAGGAAAGAATGGTGTCTGTGTGTTACATGTGGAATATGAGTTCACAAAGGTCAGCTTCTCATCTCTTTACTCAACCTTATGCTCTGACCCATCTCAAATCCCATTCCCACTCATATTCCAAGTTTTTCTCCAATCTCATTTTATCCTCAATCCCAACTCCAGTAATCTCCCCAACTAACCTCACTTCCATCCCTAAAATCCCACTTTTTTTTTTACCTCATTGCCACCATACTCCCAACCATGTCCTCATCTCCAAGTCAAAAATAATACTTAAGTAACATTTGAAGGTCTATTATATGCTATGCACTGTGCTTTATTCACTTGAAGTAGTTACTTTAAAAAAAATCACTCTCTTCCACAGAGAAACTGAGGCTTAGGAAAGTTAATTGACTTGCCCAAGGCCACCTAGTTAGGAAGTGGGGCTTCTGGCTACAAAGCCAGAACTCTATTGCCATTCTCAACCCAAACTCCAACTCTGTCTCCAGTCTGCTTCCTACCCTGAGCACTGGATGCAGGTGCCCTCAGCCCAGCCCACCCAGGGTCCTGCCCTCACCCAGCACGTTGAGGTATAGAGTGGCCGTGGCTGAGCCATGGTCATTCTTGAGCTTGAGCAGGACAAGGCCACTGTCCTCACGCACGCAGTTGGAAATGGTGAGCAACGCCTGGTCTTCCTTGTGCTCCATGGACACGTGTTCCTCCTCTGTCACCTCCACGCCATCCTTGTACCAGGTCACTTTGGGAAGTGGCTTTGCCCGGAAGGGCAACTTGACAGTGTGGCCCACCTTCACGGTCACTGGGTGCTCAGCAAGTGCCTCCAGTAGGGAGGGGTCGATAGTAGGAGGATCTTCAGGGCAGGGATGGTAGGGAAGACTCATCCAGTAGGGATGGGAGAGGAGTTGAGGGGGTGGAGGAAGAGCATGTGGGTGGGGCAGGCGTGATTGAGGTTTGTCTACAGTGGGACCATACCTGTGATGAATACCGAGGCTTCACTCTCAGCGCCCTTGGCCCAGAATGTGTACTTGCCCTCATGCTCTGGGCCCATATTGGGGAAGATGAGTTTGTGCACTGCACCCTGCTTCACGATCTGCACATCTGGTAAGTCCGTGATCTGGGGGGGTAAGAGGAGGGTGTGAGTGTGAGTGTGTGCCCGCTGATCCCCTTCCTCCAGGGTCCCCTTCCCTAGCCCCTGCTCCAACCTCTTTGCCATCCTTCAGCCACACACCCTCCACCTTCTTGTCGTTCAGCGCTACGCACAGCTCAGCCGGGCTGCCTGTGGCCACATGCACATCGGACATCCCACTCTTCTAGGAAGCCAGGCGCTCTAGGGAGAAAGGGAATGCGGGCTTGGGGAAGGGGCAGGTGTACTGTATCTTTCAAAAGCATTTATGATGAGCACGAGGTTTGAAAATGGTCAGTGTGGGAATTGGAGCAAGTTAGGTGAGGGTTTGGGAAAGGTCAATGGCACTGGGAGATGGCCGCCAGGAAGACTAGGAGATGACTATTGGGGTTGGGGTGGGGGTAGCCAATCGTTTGAGAATGCTTAGCGGGATTTATAATGCTCAGTCGAAGAAGGAGAATGGATGGTGGGCATGCAGGTGGTTGGTGGAGTTGGGATGATTAGTTGTGGTGTTGCTGGTCTGTGAGAGGCCCAGGGTCATTGGGAGTTGAGGGTGGTAAGGGTCAGTGGGCAATGGTGGGGATTGGCCAGGATCAAGGGGCGTGGGATGATCATGTTTGCTGGGGATAGTCAGAGACTAGAAGTAAAGGATGAATGAAGTGAAGGGATTTTGGATAGAGTTCAAGAGATAGGGGATGATCAGGATCTAGGAGGTAGAGATGGTCAGAGCCTGGGAGGTCAGAATGTGGGAGATGGGGGTGGTCAGAGTGGGGAGGTAGAAACTGATCATGGTCTGGGGGAGGGTTGAAGTCATAGGGGGCTGATCCATATCCAGACTGACAGGGTGCATACCCTCCATGGTGACTGTGGCAGTACTGCAGTATTCAGTGGGGTCCCCATCCTGCATTGCGACCACGGTGTACTTGCCACCGTCACTGAGCTGTGCATAATCAATGATCAGCTCTGCTCGCTTGCCCTCATGACTCATGCTGTACTTGTTGCTGCGCTCCAGCAGCTGCCCATCCTTCTTCCAGCACAGTGTCACGTTCTTGGATGTCAGCTCACACTCAAGACATGCACGGCTCCTCTCTTTCCTTACATTCTTGAGGGTGCTCACAAACTTGATGGGGATGCCTGTGGACAGAGAAACACTTGGACCTGTCCCTGATCACCTACATCCCCTTTTGCAACTACTTGCTGCCCTGATCATCTTTTTGGCCCCAGAAAACACAGGGACTTGTGATGTGGAGTGTGTTTACTTGCTAGCTGATTGCAATGCACTTATGCTCCGAGTCTCTGTTTCCTCATATATAAAATGGGATAAATGTCCCCTGGTAACCCCCCAAATAACTGCATTCTCTCTCCGTTGTCTGGGTCTTTACACATACTATTCCCTCTTCTGAGAATGTCTCTTCCTCTCCCTCCTTCTCTGAAAGCTGAACTATTTTTTGTTCTTCTTGGTAAAGCTCGGCCATCACCTCATCACATTCTTTCTGACATGGCCAGGTGGTGCCTCTTCTTTGGGCTCCTACAGCTTCTTTGTCTCCCTCCATCACAGTAATGATAATTCCATGTCACAGGTGTCAAATGTGGTTCCCATGTGCGACATGTTTCTTGGTGTACCCATCATCATCAGGTACAATTCTCCAAACTAGTTACAAGAATGTGAATAGTCAAGAGTGATATGCTGTAATATATGTAATATGTGATATAATAATTTCTTGGCCCATGATTTCCCAGCTGATAATAAGACCCTCATATATCTTGACTCCTTGCTTGAGAATGTCTGTTCTAATTCTATTTCCACATGTGCCTCTCCCACTATACTAGGAGTTAGGGGAGAGGCAAACCCTCTCTGTTTCTAATACCCATCAAAGGGCTTTGCAAAGAGGACATGAGTGGATAGATGAATGGATGAATGGTTGAATGGATAGATGGATGACTGCCCATGTGGAAGTTGCTGTGACATAAAGCCCACCCCTCAAGCTCTAGCCCAATCACTCATGATCAATAGTGAGCTGGGCCTTCTGTACCAGATCTCCCACCTGGGCAGAGAACTCGCCACTGTCACTGAGCCAGGCATCCTTAATCTTAAGCGTGTGGGTCAGACCATCCTCAGACACTGAGATTTCATACTTTTCATCCCTCTTCAGCTCCTTCCCATTGAACTTCCACACAAAGTCGGGCACTTTCTTGGAGAGGCGGATCTCAAATACAGCTGTCTGGCGCTCTGTCACCTTCACTGGCTGCATTTCTCCGAAGAACTTCAGTGGCTCATCTGCAGCAAAAAGTAGGAGGGCCAGTCATTGGACTGCAGCCCTGGTCTCTCCTGAGCAGTGGGATGATGAAGGGAACATAGAGACTGAGGTGTCATTGGCCTCCAGTAGCCCATAGTTGGGGAAAGTATCCTTCCTTTCATTCTGCTTGTAAATCCTCTCACAGTGTTTACACGATCTCCTCCCCAGGGAACTTAATGGCAATTTAAAAAGGCATTTGTGCAGTTTTAGATATGTGCCAGGAACTCTTCTAGCCAAAGAGCATATAGTAATGCATTCAATTCCCACATAGGTAGATTCTACTATTATTCCCCATTTTACAGATGGGGAAATGGAGGCAAAGAGAGGTTAAATAACTTGCCCTAAATCACACAGCTCATAGGTGACAGAAGCTGGGATTTGAATCCCAAGAGTCTAATTCCAGAGATTTTACTCTTAACTACTATGCTACACTGGCCCATGGCACTTATGATCACATAGTCCTCTCCCTAACACCACTTGTCTCCCTGCTACATGAACTCCCATTCCCATGCCCACACTCATACCCAGCACTCTGAGCTCTGCAGTCATCCGCTTGTCACCCACAGTCAGGCTGTAGATGCCTGCATCATTCATATTCACGTTGGTAATGACCAGCATGTACTTGGTGCCCACCTGCTTCACATCATACTTGCCCAGGGAGTACTGGATCCTCAGTGGCTCAGTACCCTGATATATGAAACAGGTAGAAAAGCTGATGAAGTGGTTTAGGAGACTTTCAGAGGTCCTCATTTCCCAAGGCCAGTCTGAACTGGAAGACTGCCATGTCTACCTCTTTAAGCACCTAAAACACTCCCAGAGGCCCATAAGATCTCTCTAGCCTCATTCTCTGGCTCATTGGGATCCAGGGGCCCTGTCTTCCCGAAGGCCCGAACTCTTACTATGATGAGTTTATTTGATGCTTTCTCTTAGAGGCACAGAGACCTCCAGGACCATCTAATCCAGTCTTTTCAGATGGGCAGACTGAGGCATAGAGGAAAGCAAATGTCTCAAATTAAGCAGCAAAGTGGTAGAACAGCTAAGAATAGAGCCCAGCTCCCAGCCAGTTTTAACCACATCAGGTGGCATTCTCTTGATGGGATGGAAGAAAGGATATGGCTGATGGAAAATGAGAGGGTCTGTGAAGGGAGGGGTTGCAGAGAGGAAATGATATTGCAGAGTGGGCCCCGACTAGGTGCTCCCCACCTTGACCCATGTCATCTTGGTATTGGGGTCCTTCAGCTCCATGATGCAAAGATCACCGTGGTGTCAATCTTGGTCTCTATGTCTTCCAGGGGCTTTAGAATCCGGATGGCCTGAGAGATTGGGATAACAAAATGGTAGTGTCAAGGGTGCCTGAAGCCTGCCTAGTTTGTGGCCTCAATCCTGGAGGAGCTCCCCAAGGGCCTGGGAGAAATGACTTGACTGATTAGATAGCTTGCTTCCCCTAACTCCTGCCGCTGATCAACTGGAGGATTTAGGGGAAGACAGATAAGCTAGCCAGGGGATGAGAAAAGCAAATATGATGTAAAGCAGATGAGCACCATTTGCAGGTCTGTTACTATGGATTTTTACATAGTAACAGATCTGCAAATGGATCCATTACATAGATTTTTCTAATTCCATTGTAGGTGAGTAATAATGACAAGTTGGTCGAGTAAATGAATGAAAACAACACAAAAACAAATGAAAGCGAAAGTATAGTTTTCATTTGGTAGATGAGGACACTGAGGTTCAGAGAGATGCCCATGTCCAGTTAAAAAGACAGTAGAACTGGGATTTGAACCTAGGTCTGTCTGACTCCAAGTCCATGCAAGTATATTAGGGAGAGAAGAGAGGAGAGGTAGAAGGGAGGTGACTTGAGTGTCTTTTCTGCTTTTGTTGTAGAGCACATGTGTCAAACACAAGGCCCGCGGGCCAAATCCGTCCCGCCAGGCCTTGCAATGTGGCCCGCACCGCGCTGTCATCACTGCACTCCGCTGCGTTTCCATCACAATGACAGTTTATGACTGTTCAGTAAACCATTCGGCCCGCGATTTAGGCTGGATTTTAGATTTGGCCCCTTCTCTGATTGAGTTCGACACCCCTATTGTAGAGTATGCCTTCGAGTACATGTGTGCAGGCCAGGTGACACAAAGGTGTTAGCCCTTTCGGTGAGACCCAGGCCCAGCCTGCAGACCCTGACCCCCATAAGCACTGACCTCCACTTCTACTTACTTCATCCCTTTGAGCTTCTTGAGCAGCCTCCGAAAGTCAGTGAAACCGTACTCCACGCAGACCTTCTCAAAATCCTTCTTAGGCATGTTGGACAAAATCTCCAGCATCTCTTTCTCATCTGTCACTTTCTTCTGCTGCTTCTTGGGAGCAGGGGCAGACCTGGGAGGAGGTAGGGACCGAGTTTGGACTCAGCAACTTCCTCTGAAGACAGAGGGAGCTCCTCCTAACTTGAGATACCTCTCCACACTCCATGAATTTTTGGAGCGAGGGCCATTAAATCAAAGCCTTGTTGAAACACCTTCAAGAAGCTCTAGCCTGGAGAGTGGGGGGACAGTACCCTGGGCAGAGGAGCCTTCCAATCTCACTTCTTTTTCAACATCTTTTTGAAACCCATTTTTTCTTGACCTGAGGACAGAGAGAGGGACAGGGTCAGGCAGGGGAATTTGGTTCTTTTTTTTTTTTTTTTTAAATATTTTTTATTGATTTTACACAGAGAGGAATTGAGAGGGATAGAGAGTTAGAAACGTTGATGAGAGAGAAACATCGACCAGCTGCCTCTTGCACACCCCCCACTTGCACATGCCCGCAACCAAGGTACATGCTCTTGACCAGAATCGAACCCGGGACCTTGCAGTCCACAGGCTGACGCTCTATCCATTGAGCCAAACTGATTTCGGCTGGGAATTTGGTTCTTAATGAGAAAGACCAGGAAGAGGAGGTTGACTCACCCTCTGTCACCTGCAAGGACACAGTATAGATGGTGTCTGCATGGTCATTGCTTGCAATGCACTTGTAGTTGTCAGAGTCATCCGAGGTCAGTGGCTCCAGCTGGATCAGAATCCGGCCATTAGTAAGGGGCAGGGGAGGGGACCATAGGGAGACTTTCTGGAAGAAAGGAGGACATATTTGGGGGCGGGGCTGAGTGTTGGGGGTGTATGTGCGGAGGATTGAACAGCCTCTATAATTTGGAGGTAGCAATCAGTGTGAGTGTCTGTGTTTGTAGCCTGATTCTGCACGGACTCTCTCCCTTGGTGGTGAGCTCCTGGAACACGGACTTCCTCTGGGTTGTAATTCTATCTGCAGCTTCTGGCACAGGGCTAAGAACTCCTTTCTCTAACACATAATTACTCCTCTGTACCAGGGGCCGAGCCCCTGAGGAAGTAGCGGTAAGACTGTCTTGGGCAGATAGCGTGGTATTTACAGCCTAGTGGAGCTCTCAGAAAGGGTTTGCTGAGGGAATGAGTTTGTGCAAGGGTTGGCAAATAGGGGACTCTGGGTCTTTCTGAGGAGAAGGAACTAACTTTGGTTTCTGGGGGAGCAGCGAGGCTCTTTGCTTTTCACAGTGGAAGTTGGGGGCAAGACCAGTTGGGACAGGAGTAATTATAGGCCTAGGTCTCCTAGGAATCCATCTCTCCAGACTAGAGGTTGCAGAAGCTGGTTAGACCTAAGAATTACCAGCCCCTGGCAAGACTCTTCTGGAAGACTCTCCTGAAAAGCCCAGGAACCCTACCCGCATTCCCATTCTATGACCAGCCCCTCCCCCCATCCCTCCACTCAGCCTCCCTCTACTCACTATGGTCCTGTCCCTTTGGAACACTCCTTCTTTTCCATTTGTGCTAGCCCCCTTCCTGGTTCTGCCTTTGTTCTGGCTCTGCCTTGTCTCCCCCCCTCCCCTACAGTTTGGTCCCTTGCTCACTCTGGGAAGGCCCCAGCTCCTGACTGGCCTCTCTTATCCTGCCCCTCCTCTAGGGTAATGATAGCCTCTTTTCCCACCTCCCAGTTCTGGGGTCTCGCTGTGACTGTCTTGTGGGTGAGAGGACCCGCGGCTCCCTGGAGTAGGGTACCCCCCTCTGGCCTCCCGGGTAACTGGATCTCAGGCGGGGCCCCAAACCTTCAGCATGTGCTCCTTGTTAATGCTGTCTTAGAACATCATGGCAGACTCCTTGATGGGGATGCCACTTTCCCGCTTCTAGGAGATGTTCGGCTTGGGGTTCCCCTGGACCTGGGCTCGGAACACAGCTTTATCCCCTGCAGCGGGCACAGGATGCATGTTCACCTGGTAGCCTCCAGGCTGCACCTGCTGCCTGCTCCCTGCCTCCTCCCAGGCATCTCGCTCCAGCCCAGGCAGGAGGAGGAGCCTTGGCCTGGCTCTGACAGTGTTTGCATGTGGTGTTGATGGTGGTGGTGGGGTGGCTGGGTTTATGGAAAAGAAAGGGAAGCACCTAGGAGCATGGGGAGAGATGGGATGGGGTCAACGTACTCTCAGGCACAGTGACTGGCTGAGGCTTCTCCACGAACTCAGGGATACTCTCTCCCTCAGGGATGTTGGAATTCTGAGTCACCAAACTGAAGAACTGGACAGTGCTCGACGAGAACGACTTAGTCATGACTTCCTCTGTGGTAGAGAGATCAGAATGAACTCCAGGCAGAGCTCAGGCTGGTTTTAGAGAACTGGCCTTTTGTTTGAGGGGATGGTGGGATACGTCAGGCCAGTGCCAGCAGATCAGCTTTTACCAAGAAAGGAGGCCCTAGAGCCTGGAGTCATTGTATTATGGCACATTTCAACCACTAGGGGGAGCCAATTTCTCTTCCATCCCTCAATGGCCAATCACCCTTTTTGAGCCACCTTCTGAGTACTTTTTAAAATTTTTTTATTTTTTAAGGAGACTTCTCTTTTGGGAATTTCATTTCTTTTCTTTCTTTTTCTTTTTCTTTTCTTTCTTTTTAAAAAAATATATTTTATTGATTTTTTACAGAGAGGAAGGGAGAAAGAGAGAGAGTTAGAAACATCAATCAGCTGCCTCCTGCACACCTCCCACTGGGGATGTGCCCTCAACCAAGGTACATGCCCGTGACCGGAATCAAACCTGGGACCTTTCAGTCCACAGGCCGACGCTCTAGCCACTGAGCCAAACTGGTTAGGGCTTTTGGGAATTTCTTAATCTCTTGTGATTGACTCCTGGAAATCCTGGTCCCCCGGTAGCATGAGGAGGGGCTGGGCTTGCTCCCGCTTGGGAGGCCTGGTAGCTTAGCTGAGCTCTGCTGTGGGCCTTCCCCCTGCCCTCCTGTGGTTCAGCCTTCATTGCCATGGAGTAGGGATTCCTGACTGAGGAATATTCCTGACAGGAGATATTCCCAGTCCAGTGGGACTATATATGGGAATCTCACATCTGAAAGAGCATATTCAATATGTTAATATAATTTTACATTTGGGGAAACAAGTTGTTTTTTTCAATATTAACCACACAAAATCTTATTGGCTTAGTGAGTTAATGATAATTGCTCTGAATCATGGTTCCCTTTCCTTGTCAGGAACTGTGCTAAGCACATTTCAGAGATTATTTTATTTCATCCTCATAGTGACCCGGTGAAGGAGGTGCCAGTATTATCCCCACCAAGCTGAACGAAGGAGGAGAGAAAAATGTGTTAAGAAGCCCCGTTGCCTGCTGTTCACTGGAGTCAGAGGTCTCAAACGAGAGTGTGCAGTCTGTACCCAGTCCGTATATGTCTCATTTGACCTCCACAACGTTTAAACAAAAAGTATCCCTATATCTAAAAATTGTGAGATTTCATAGAAGTTCAGGTTTCTGGTTTCTTGAATTTTCATACGGTAACAACTAGTGGGAGGTGAATATGGCTGCCCCTTTCGATGGGGTATGTCCTCTCGAGTTGACCTCAGTCTCTTTCATGCATTTATGTTCCCTGCCTGGACCTTGAGGGTCAGTGGTTTTAAACTCTGGCCACATATTAGAATCTCTGAGCGTTTTAAAAACAAACAGCTGGTTTAACAGTTGGGTGAGGCTCAGGTATTGCTATGTTTTTTACTCCTCTCCCTCTCGTGCCCACACTAAGATGACTCTATCTCCAGCCAGTGCTGATAATCCCTGCTGTCATCACTTGAACTTGCAACTTCTGCCCTAAAGTCCCGTCTCCTCTTTGCTCTGCGTCACTGACCAGGAGGGGGTGGTGTAGCATGTTTATCTGGCTTTGACCTCTGCACGCAGAGGACTCTGAAGGACGGCCTGTCCAGAACTTGGAGGGAGGAGCAATGGCTGAGAGGATGGGGATTCAATATCCTGGCCCCTGGCCATTTCCTAATCACTTTTCTCTAGAGACATGACTCAAACAATCTGTTTTGGTCTGAGACCATTTCTCAGCTTTTCCTTGGATCTGTCCTCCCCAGGTCTGGTCCCCAAGGGCTGAGAGCTGGAAGCTTAGGTCAATTGTTTGGCTGTTTGTCCTCTCTTGGCTGGCAACTCAAAGCCTTCTATCTCTTAAGTGGAACAGGGTCAGCATTACTCATATGTAGATAAGGTGGCAGCCTCCCTAACTCCCTCCATGCTGAAATTCTACCTTCAGGGATGCATGTGTTTGCCTATGGCTCTGATCTCCTCAAGTAATTAAGAGTTCACCATGCCCTGACTGGTTTGGCTCAGTGGATAGAGTGTCGGCCTGCGGACTCAAGGGTTCCAGGTTCGATTCCGGTCAAGGGCATGCACCTTGGTCGCAGGCACATCCCCAGTGGGGGTGTGTGCAGGAGGCAGCTGATTGATATTTCTCTCTCATCAATGTTTCTAACTCTTTATCCCTCTCCCTTCCGCTCTGCAAAAAACCAATAAAAATATATTAAAAAAAAAAAAAAGAGTTCATCAGTCACTCACACACAGCCACATGATTGATTTTTTGTAAACTGTTTTCCTGGAGAGCTGATCTGTGGGTGAACATAGGGCTGGCCGAGGCTTTATCAAGGCACAGATTAGAAGCACAGGTTAGGAGAGGGTTGCTCTTGGTATTGCAAATACTGAGGCCATCCAGGGGGTGGATGTGGAGGAAGAAAGGCTGCCCCTTCCCTCCCCGCCCCCCACTGGCCCCCATTCTACTTGCCTCCCACAATCTTGGTTGTCTGGGAGAAGGTCTGCACATGGGTGGAGGAGCTGGAGAACTCCATGGACTCTGCATCAATGCTGATGGTGAATGGTTGTCATGGTGACAGCAGGCGTGGGCACTCACCTGGGAGGACAGGCAGAGGATGAGGCCATGAAGGACAGGAAGGGAGTAGGAAGGAGATTCAGAGATTGTGTGTGTGTGTGTGTGTGTGTGTGTGTGTGTAGAGGGGCAGGTGGACACAGTGGGTGAGAGGCAATACGCCTTTTCTGTCTGGCCTCTATCTTTCCTCTTTGTATCTCACTTTCCCAGCCTGGCTACAAGGATCAAATGGGCTTGTCCTCCACTGAGTAATCCCAAACCATTCCAGGTTCTGGGAGGAGAGGAGGTAGGGCTTAGGTTTATCCTGCAAACCAAGGAAGGCCCAAGGCACCGAGGATACCGATGGACAGCTACATGGAACTAGGGAGTTAATGACAGGCAACGGGGCTGGAGGTTTCATCAGGAGGAATGAAGTCAGATCTAAGAAGGAACTTCCTGACTAAGCCACCCTGGAGTGGCCTTGGAAGGAAGCTGTGAATTTCTTCCTGGGCCTTGGGGCCCCTGGCACCGGTGGAAGGCCAAGACAGATGACAGCTCATTATTCCAGCTCTTCCTTTTGTGACATAGAAAAGGACAGAGTTGATTTCATATAGTTTTAAAAAAACATTGGAACTTCAATCACCTAGTTGAAAAACAATATAAACATCTTGGTGAAGAGGCGCCCTTCCATCTCAGCCCCCATCTCACAACCCTCCCCCAACAGGTAAGCACTGGTGGTCTCTGACTCCTTCATGGAAACAGGAATGTCTTTGTCCTTGTCCCCTTTTTTTACGTGTAAGGTAGCCTATTATACACACTATTCATTCCCTTCCTTTTTCATTTCACACATCTTGGAGGTCCCTCCATATCAGTCCATAGTTTCCTCCATATCTGTCCATAGTTAATAGCCACATGGTATTTCATCTAATCAGCATGGCAGTTTCTAAACCCCTGCTTTGCAAACGAGGAAACTGATGAACTTGTCCAAGGTCACTCAGACTGGAATCCTGGCCTCCTACTCCCAGTCCAGAGCCCTTCCAGGGGATCCCAAAGCCCTGTTCTGAACCAGGCAGTTCAAGGCCAAACTTTATCTCCCCGCCCACCCCCACCATGATCTCTCTCAGCCTGTCCTTTCTCCCTCTAGCTTCTGAGACCACCTCTGTCCCAGCTCCTGAGGTCCCTCTCAGCTCAGGAGGTAGCTTCTGCCCCTTCTTGAGGGATGAGGGAAGTCTTACCTTCGTATGACCAGTCCCTCCTAATCCTCAAACGCTGTGTCCAGGGCTTTGGAGGAGCAGCTAGTGCCCGGGTGGTAGAATGGCCAGTCTCCTTCTTCCGTTGCCTTAATAGTGAGGCCACCAGGAGTCACCGGTTCCTTAAATGTCTGGCCCCTGGGGGCTATCCCTTACTCAGGCTCAGCAGCTGCCCCAGCTGACACACTGCTTTGGGGGGATGGAGTGGGAAGAGGAAGAGGCGCCAAGGCTGCAGGAAATGCTGGGCATGGGTGGGCAGGGGCTGAGGACGGTGGTCTAGGGGTACTTTACCTGTTCCTTTGCGGCAGAGGTTTTGCTTCTCACTGCTGCTGCGTGGGAACTCTTTGAGCTGAGGGGCTCAGGTGTGTGTGTGTGTGTGTGTGTGTGTGTGTGTGTGTGTGTGCACGAGCACATGGACAGTCCAATGGGAAGATCAAGGCAGTCTTCTATTTTGCACAAGTCCAGGAAATACCATTCATCTATGTGTGGTCCCTGCACAGCCTGTTAGCCTTCCTCCCTCTTGCCACTCCTGCAGCCCAATCCCCCAACTTGAAGGGCAGGAGGTCAATCCCCCTGTGGGAGGGTGGCTAGACACCAGGCCCCTACCCCTGACCTCCATCCCAGCTGTTCAAGCCCCTCCTCATTCTGTTCTGTCTGTAGTCTACCTGCATGGCTCGACCCTTAACCAGCCCACACAAGGTCCTGGCACGTGGAAGGACCTGCTGGCTGATCAGCAGCCCTGCCCTAGGCCCCCTCCTGTCTGGAAATGACCCCTGCTTGCCAGCCATGGCATCACGGCTACTTTTGCTGCATCCCTGGGGGCAGGGGCAAGAATAGAACAGGAGTGTCCAGAACTTGAGCCCACGGGCAGATTCCCCAGGCCCACTGGGAGGGGTGACTCTCAAGTCCAGGCCTTGAAAGGGAAATTACCGGTTGCAGCTGCTGTTGGGACCTATAGGGTTAGCATGGGATAAGTGTGCTGGCCAGCAGGGAGGGGCTGGGGTGGCGACCTGAAAGTCCTCCACCTAGCCTTGGCTCTTCAGGCCCATGTGCTGGAACTGGTGCCTGGCCAGCCGCGTTGCCTTCTGTAGATGCCTGCCACACCTGTTCTTGAGGCTTTCCCTGTCCCAGGGCTTCTGGCTGGATCAGGGTGAGGGTGTGTGAGAATCCTGTCCAATGGACTTCTTTGGCTTTGCAGATCTGGATTCTCTCCATACTCCCAATCTCCACAAGGGATTGTTGGGAGATGGGGACACACACACACACACACACACACACACACACGGAAGAGGAGGAGGAGGAGAAGAAAGAGGAGGAGGAGGAGGAGGAGGAGGAGGAGGAGGAGGAGGAGGAGGAGAAGGGGGAGATGACCAGTACTAGGAGGCAGGGAGTGGATGGGAGAGGCAATCACAGACCCAGGAGGCTAGTTTTGCTCAAAATGCTCTGTTTATTGCTCTATTCAATGACCACGAGCAAATTATAAAAAGACACCAAATGTCTCTGTCTGCCGTGGAATAAATATTTAAAGTCAGCAATAAAAACACGTGGCTCCAAGATAACACATGTTGCCGAAGAGTCATGCATACCCCGCTGATGGGCTCTCAACACACGCGTGGACACAGGAACACACGCAGAGCTGCACGCAGCAAGACTCCTGGGAAGGCTTCCCACGGTGACACCGGAAAATGTTTCCCACGGATCTGGGGCGAGTTCCCAACCCGCCCTCGGAGCTCCCCCTCTCCCTCCCACCCCCACCAGGGCCCTCGTCCTCCGGGTGCACAGCCCCATCTGCCCCTTCCTCCCCAACGCCTCGCAGGCGGGTCACTGCCTCCTGAGGACCTGTGACACCCAGAGGCCACCCAGGAGCTTCCCACACCTGACCTCCAGGCCCTCCGGCCCTCCTCCCCACCCCGATCCCAATAACTGAGGGTGAAACGCAATCTGTCTGTTGGGAGAAGCAGGGTGGGGGCCAAGCCAGGCACCTCTGCCTGGGCTGCTTAGGGGCTGGAGCTCATGACCCCTATCCTAGGCTGAGGAGACACAGTGTCCGGTACAGACAGCAGAGATGGATGGACAGACAGAACACGCTGTTCGGGACACGTGGAATGCAGCACAAACATTTTGGATCAAGTAGCAATGGAACCATGGTTAAAACTGAGGCCCCAGGTCGGCGTGGTGTGGGTCGGGTCCTGGAGCCCCAGGCCTGGCCTGGCACGTCCCTCCCCCACCCTGCCCCACTCCCCAATATATACAGTAGGAATTGCTATGTTGGGGGCAAGGGCCAGCTGGAGAGAGGGAAGCAGGAGGGGCAGGGCAGGGAGCAGGCCAGGACCTGAGGCTGGGCCCTGGGGGTGAGGCTGGGGTAAGGGCCCAGCCTCAGGCTGGGTGGTGCCAGGAGGACCCCAGGGGAGCAGAGAGGTCACTCTGGGGACTGGCGGGACAGCTGCTTCTCATACAGGCTCATGACGTGATGCACAAACTGGTACTGCTCGCATGTCTGGATCATGCCGCCCCTGCCCGGCAGAGATGCATGGTGGGGAGGGGGTTGTGGAGGGATGGGCTGTGGGAGGTACCCCCAAACCCACGGAGGACCCATCACGCACCAGGGGCCTTGTTTTTGTGGAGGCTGGAGAGGCCAACCCTAGCCAGGCCAGGAGATCCCCTCAGCGCTTCCCTGTCCCTCCCAGCTCCGGTGCAGGCAGCAGGGACAGAGATGGCACTCCCACCTGCTCCCAGCCTGTCCTGGCCACCCGCTGTTCCTCTCCCCTCTTCATCCAGCACCGCCTGTCCAGATCCAGCCCCTCCACTTATCCGACTTCCCTACCCCTTCAGCCAGCAGCCAGTCCGTACCCAGTGTGCCCTCCTGCCCCTCGCCCCGAGCACAGTTGGTCTCTCTCCACATGCCCCACCCCGCCCGTGGGCTGACCTGTCCTGACGGAGCTGGCACGTGGTCTTCAGGATGTCCACCACACCCTCCTGCCGCAGCTGCTGGCAGCAGATGCTGGTGGCAATGAAGCAGCCGGTCCTCCCGATCCCTGCGCTGGGGGCCGAGGGGATGGGTGGGTGAAGGGCGGGGCAGCAGGGGTGGGTGGGTGGGTGGGCTGCCCTGCCCTGGCGGGTGGCTGGGAGGACCCACCTGCAGTGGACGATGATGGGGGCGCAGCGGGGCCCCTCCTGCTGGGCAGCCTCCTCCACCTCCCGCACCAGGTGCAGGAGCGGGGGCGCCCGGTCTGGGGTCTTCTGGTCGGGCCAGGACGTAAACCAGTAATGCTTCAGACCTCGCTCTTCCGTCCCGCTCTGTCCGGGAGACAGAGGCCCACCCCACAGACACGTGAGCTCTGTGAGCCCATAAAGCACAGAGACGGGAATGGGGTGGGAGGAGGGAGAACACAGGGGGAAGAGGACACAGGGAGTGGGGCCTCTGGCCTCTGGCATAGACACCACATGGCCCAGGGGCACCAGACAGAGACCCAAAGCCAGCGTGGGTAGTGGCGGCTGGCCAGCGGAATCAGCATTGGTCCTCACACATCATCCAAGCGAGGCAAAGAGTCCCTTCTCCAGTTCATTCCTGCCTCCCAGTTTCTTATTTTAACCAACAGCCCAGTCATCCCTGTGCCACATAACCAGACCCTGGGGACCTTCCTCTGGCCTTTCTGTGCTTGGTCTGACTCCCCCTCCACCTCTCCTTCTGGGGAAACAGGAAGCTGGTTCCTTGGGCCCTGGGCCATCTGGCTGGGAAAGCTCCGACAGCCTCTGTTCCCCACCCCTTCTTGGCCCTTCCTGCCCTCCAGCCAGCCTTGCATCTCAGAGCTGTTCAGGTGGGCACTGCCCTCCGGGAGCATCCTCTCCAACGGAGAGGGGCCGCTCAGAGGAACAGATCTCAGGCTTTGAGAGGACCTTGTGACTGTCAGCATCACTGGACTTCCCAATCTATCAGCTTCCTGGTGCCTGGCTCCCCGCTTCCAGTCTTTGGGGCTCTATCATTTCTTAAAGAGAGATCCCACTGATCCTCCTGACTCCAAATGAACAGCCTGTTCTCTTATGCTGCTCCTGAAAGAAGCACAACTTCAGGGTGGGAGGAAACTTTCCCCCACTCTTCTGGGCTGTTTCCTATTGCTCATATTTTGTGTCTTTCCGTGCCCCCCTCCCCCTCACTATTTTTTTTTTTTTTTAGTCACAACTTCCTCCTGCAACCCAAATGCAGCAAGGAGTGTCTACCCTCTGGTGGACAGATTGGGTACTACAGGCCGGAAGGCCTGTATCCCAGGTGAAGGGAGGGTGCTTTGAGCAGGGATCTTGAAAGTCACCATGGTCTTTCAGTTATAAGGACAGTGCTGAAGGCAGCAGGAGACCCCTTGCCCAGACGGTCCTGGATTTGGGTGCATGTGAAGCAGAGCTGGAGGCATTAAGAATAACTGTGTAGCCAGTACCGGTTTGGCTCAGTAGATAGAGCGTCAGCCTGCAGACTGAAAGGTCCCAGGTTCGATTCTGGTCAAGGGCATGTACCTTGGTTGTGGGCACATCCCCAGTAGGGGGTGTGCAAGAGGCAGCTGATCAATGATTCTCTCTCATCAATGTTTCTAACTCTCTGTCCCTCTCAATTCCTCTCTGTGTAAAATCAATAAAATATATTAAAAAAAAAAGAAAAGAATAACTGAGTAGACACACAAAGCCCAAAGGCATAACATGCGACAGGTTTGGTCCTGCTTCTGTCCCCCCGGGGTCCATTCAGCTCCTCCTTATCCCTTGCTCACAAGTAATTCCTGGGAGACACAGGACTTGATTTCGGCTAGAGTGGACTGTGGGACCCTGTTCTGTGGCATCCTCAACAAAGCCCTTGCCCCCCAGCAGCCCCGCCCCAGGCCTCACCCTGAGGGAGATGAGTCGCAGCCGGTAATCCTCCGTGTGGATGACTTCCCGCACGGTGATCTCCACACCATCATAGACCACCTGCTCCTCCGGCCAGTACTCGGTGCACTTCTGTAGGGCCAACATCAGGCTGCGATCCACTCCCAGTTTCCCAACCATGCTCTCCCGCCAGGGCCAGCCAGGAGAGAGATAAGGTGGCCATAGGTTTGCAGTTCGACAGTACTGGGTTCAAAACTCAGCCTCATAACCTTTAGGTTACCTCCTGTTTCTGAGCCTCAGTTGCCTTATGTGGAAAATGGGAGTCATATCCATCTTGAAGGACTTTCCTAGCGGGTCAGTTAAATGGGCTGTTTGGAGTATGGAAGTAGCTTGCGTCAGCCCTGGCAGCCTAGGAGGCAGCAGAGCATTCTGCTTAAGATCCGGGGCACTGGAGGTAGAGAAGCCAGCTCCAGACTCTGCCTCTGACTGCTGGTGTGGCTCTGAGCAAGTGACTTAACCTCGCTGAGCCTCCTACTTCCTCACCTTGACTGTGGAGGGAGCCCTACCAACCTCACAAGATTGTTGTAAGACTATGGAAGCAAGAGGCTTACGGCACGAAGCTGCAGACGCCTGGGGATGGTGCAGGGGCGCCTACCTCGTTCATCTCCTCGATGTTGGTGATCATGACAATGATGGGTGTGTGCTCCTGCCACACCATGTGCCAGAAGTCGCCAACCGTGCTGACGATGGGTCCCTGAGTGGCAATGTACACCTTCTCCTCCCCACCGTAGCCCTGTGGCCAGCCAAGTCCAGGCTGTCAGGGTCAGAGGCAACGTTCCTGGGGCCCAGCCCCCGTGTTCATGCTCTTCCCGGGGCTGGCAGCAGTGCACTGGCTGAGGGACAACCTGGAGGATGGGTCCCACCAGCTTGGGCCTCCTTTTTCAGGGAAAGGGTGTTAGGATGAGGCTACATACCCGGATGTAGTTGGCGTTGATATAGGAACTCAGAGGGTCATCAGGATCTGGTGAAGTCAGACACACTCTGCTGTGAGGGTCTGGGGTGGGAGAGACAGGTGAGGCGGGATTGGATGTGTGCAGTCCCCCTGGGCAGGGCCCACCTGACCTGGCCCATTCAGGGAACCCACATTTCTTCTGAGACTCTAAGTTCCTCCTCCCCCTGCCTGGTAGCAAAACATTCACCCTTCCCGCACAGCCCAGTGAGGCAGGCAAGGCCCAGGCTGAAGAGGAAGGTGGAGTGTGAGGTCCTGGGTCTCTACCTCCATGGCATCCATGCCGGCCCCTTGCCCCTGCCCCTGCAGCTGCCCTGGATTCACTGTGCCTAACGTTCTAGGGAGAAGAAAGCTAAGCAGAGAAAGGAGTTATCTGGGGCACACATGCTGGACAGCGGAGGTAGCGAGAGTTTGAATATAGACTCTCACAACGTGCTGAGTATGCTTGTAAAGCACGTGGCCTTTCTAAGCCTCAGTTTTCCTCTCTGTAATATGGGGGTAAAGATACAGACTTCCTAGGTTTGTTGGGGAGACAGAGGAGAAAACAGCCGTGAATGTGCTAAGTAAAGTGCTTTATAGCTACCAAGGGCTGTTCAGACTTGGGGGATGAAAGCTGAGGAAGACTACTGGAATAAGAGGAGTAAAACCTTCCACATCTGAGCTGAGACTAGGGTCACCCCAGCAGACACGTGTGCACAATGGGTTAGTTCCCCTCCTCCCCCTTTCAATCCAGTCACATGTCAAATCGCATAACATCCTGCTCTTCTTCCTGGGGTAGAATCTGTTTTAGTCCCGCTAGCGCCTCCCTACACTGCCAGCTCTGTCAGCCTGCGGAGGCTGGGACTGAGGTGGAGACGTGAGTGGGGTGGGCAGGGAGCTGGCTGGGGCCCCAGGTCCTGGCTGTGGTCTAGCTCTGTCACCAGCTCACGGTCTTTTCTCTGGGCCTCGGTTTCTCTCCTGGACTAAGGTAATTCAGGTGTGCACAGCACGGGGAACGGTTAAGAGTCTGCACCACTGAGCCAGACAACCTGGGTTCAAATCCTGCCTCTTATTAGCTGTACCAGCGTGGGCCATGTATGTAAGCTCCCTGTGCCCTATCTGCAAACTGGGGCATCCTTTTCATCGCAGCCTTACTACCCTTGTAGAGGATAAAGGAGTCCTCAGACCAGTAGCTTAGCCCAGCATGCAGAAAACACCAGGCAGTAGAAGTTGCTGCCGGTGTTACCGCCGTCGTTACACGGGCTGCCATGGTTGACAGGTGAAAAGAAGGATGCCAAGCAGCAGGAGATGCCTCAGCTGCAGTGTCTGAGGCTTTGGCGGGTGATTTGGGGGTAGGAGCAGGTAGGGAAGGGGCAGCTCTGTGGACAGAGGCGTAGCAGGGTGTCCGGAGTGGAGAAGAGCAGGGTAAGCCGAGGGGGGCGCTGGCTGAGCAGCAGGAAGAGGAGCAGGGCGCTCTGCATGCGCCATCTCCCTCCCCCTTGTCAGCATTGCCCACATAGGTGCCCAGACACCAGGGTCTTTGGTATTAAAGAACCACGGTGGGAATGGGAATGGGAATGGTCCTTTTAACCCTACTGTGCCTGGCACTGTGCTTGAGAGTAAAAACTCCAAGATAAACAAGACATCATCCCTGCTCCTGAGTGTTGGGCAGGCAGACAAGCAGTGTGTGGCCTTGGCTTCCTGGCACAGGGGCACCTGAATGAGGTGTGAGGGACCAGGAGGAGGAGGAGGAAGAAGAAAAGGAAGAGGAGGAGGCACGTCATTCAGTCTGATTCAAGTGCCCAGGGCAGGGCGGGCTGCTGAGAGAAGAGTTGGGGAGAATCTGTTGACTAAGGGTCTCATAACCCGTGAGGATCAGCCTGGACCCAAACCCGAGGATTACAGGGTGATGTGTCAGCGTTGCAGGAGGAGAAAGACGACTGGATTTTGGTGACATTGATAGGAGATGGACAGTAGGGTAGGGTGTGGGTGTCAGACCAGTGAGAAGATGACTGCAATGATCCAAGGGAGACGTGTCTGGGGTCAGAGGGCTGCCCTGCCCTGCACAGCTCCAGGGGCATTCATTGTCAATGCAGTCGGTGTCCATGGCACCCTCCGAAACTGGGCAACTGCCCCCTCCCCCTATAAAGTTACCTGGCCGTGAGGATGGAGAAGGGGCACTAGATTTGAGACAGCCATTCATCCATTCACTCACTCACTCACTCATCCACCCATTCATTCATTCACAGAGGTGCAGAGTGGCTACTATGTGCCAGGCACCCTTGGTGCTTGGGACACAGTGGCCAAATGGACAGAAATCGCTCCCCTGCATCTTGCTCTTCGTGCTGCTGGCCACTCTGTGCTGTCACTGTCCCCAGCTCTGCCTCTCCCATCCGCTTGGAAGCCTCCTGTGCCCAGGTTGTGTCTCATTCATGCCTGAATTCTCAGCCCTGGGGTCAGGGGCTCAGGAAACACGAGCAGAATGAGCGCAAGAACAAACCTCAGGGTGTCCTGGACCTGAGAGGGGACCTCTGCCAAGACTACCCTGCCTTCTGTCACTGCCCCCACTCCCTCAGCCTCAACCCAGCCTCTGAGGGCACAGGGTCAGTTCTTGTTGTCCACAGAGAACATCCTCTTTAGGCTTGGAGGCCTGGAGGCTCAGCGTGGCTCAAAGCCTCTGAGTAACCCAGTGCCAGGTGGGGTGACGGCTTGAGTCCCGCCCTCCCCCAGCGGCCACTCTGCACGGCCAGCGAAGGCCTAGGTTCTGGGGTACATGAGCCCCTCCCTCCAGGTGGGGCGAGGTGGGTGTGGGAGAGCAAGACAAGGGGAGAAAGAGGTGAGCAGCCCAGAGCAGTGCCTCCTGGCCTTACATGGTGCTTTGTTTAACCGGAACCACCTAGAGGCTGCGTAACCATAGCAACCACAAGTCGATATTTTAAAAGTTAAAAATAAGTCATGACATCTTACATGTTGTTGGAGATGCTGATGGCAAAACTGCCTTTTTTTTTTTTTTTTTTTTTTTTTTTTTAAGCCTTGTCACTCCATAAACGGAGTAGAGTAGGTTTGTGGGGATTCACTTTCAAACAAGTCACCCCTCCGAGCTAGCCCTGGGGCCTGGGGCCAGAACCAGGCGGGGTGACGCACAGACAGGGGCTCCATGGAAGTTACCTGAACGTGGCACCCCAGGGCTGAAAGAGAAACCGTAGGCCACCTGGTCTCACCCCCCCAGAGAGGGAGAATCCCTATCAGACCCTCAGGGACCGCTCACACAGCCTTGTTTGAACACCTTCATTGGGGGCACCGACCCCCCGACAGGCGGGCGGCTCACTCCCTCGTGGAGTCGCTCTGCCCGGTAGAGGATGCACAATGTGGACAAAATAAACTCGGGGTGGACAAAAGGGCCCAATTCTGGGGTCCCGGAGACCTGGTTTGAAACCCAGTTCCGTGTGACTGTGGATGAGCCACTTCACCTCTCTGAGCCTTAATCGCCTCTCCTTAAAACCTGCCCGCTCTGAAGAGCCCAAGGATGTGAGAACGCCCCGCTGACGCCACGCACTGGGTAGGTGTCGTCACCCTTTCTGGGTTTCTGCAGAGCCCAGCACAATGCCTGGTCATGCTAAGGGTCCGGAGGGTGCGTGTGAAGGAATGAATTAGCCTCTGCCCTCAGGAGGGGGTGTTTCTCTTCACTGGGCACTGCCCCTCTCCATCCCTCCTCATGACCTTGGAGGCCCAGCTCTGGGTTAAGGTCTTCCTCAGGGTGAGGGGACACCCAGGGGAGGGTGAGCCCCCCTGGAGCCCCTTTACTCCCAGGGCACCGGGTACTCACTGGGAAGGATGGTTTTGTACCGGTTCTTCCGTACCAGCCCAGGGATGTCATACTCTTTCGGATCCACAAAGTTCATGGGGATTTCCTGCGGGAGGAAGGACATGGGGGTGTGAGCAGCCAGCCGTGGGCTGATTCTCAGAGATGCTTGAATCCAGGAGTTGCTGTGCCCCAACTTCTAGTCCAGGGGCTGGCTTGAGAGCATGCATTCCTTCCACATTTACTATTAAGTGAGTTCCTGCACACACAAAACGCAATTAAAACACTGTTGGGCACGCAGCAAGTACATAAACATGTTATTATTACTACTGTCTACGGAGGGACAGTCTGGCATAGAGCAGACACTAAATAAATGGTCAACAAACAAGAACAAGAGTTTGAAAAGCAATCTGGCCAGTCGCCAGCATCTCCCACACGCCCCATGCTGCAGCCACACTGAGCGGCTTTGTCGATCTGTGTTCTCACCCTGGACATTCCCCGCCCGGGACCTCGGGTTGTGCTGCTCACTCTGTGCCTCACCCGATTCTCATCTTCTCATGTCCTTCCTGTCCGTCATCAATGCCACCTCCTCCAAGAAGCCCCCTCTGATTCTCTAGCAGGAGGGGAGCCTCCTGAGTCATTCTGTGTTAAGAGCTCCCAGTGGGCTTCTCTGCCTGGAAGATGGGGTCCTCTGGGGCCTGGCCTTTCTTTACCACCAGCTGCTTTCAAGATTCCCATCCTTCAGTTACGCCCGCTCCTTCTTGTTGCTAAGATGCCATTCTCCATCTTGCCTCCAGGTCTGAGCGCGTGGCATTTTCCACTTGCAAGGAGCACCCCTCTTCAGTGCTCCATCATTTCCACTCTTTAAGGTTCCCCTCTAGCCTCACCCCCCCACCCCACGTCCTCTGGGATGACTCCCCAGTGCTCCTCACTTCTTCACTCCCCTTCTTTCCACCCACACACAAGGTCCTACAGCGTTCACTGTGTTTGGATCCACTAAGAATGCTCTTTGTATGCCAAAACCGGTTTGGCTCAATGGATAGAGCGTTGGCTTGGGGACTGAAAGGTCCAGGGTTCGATTCCGGTCAAGGGCATATACCTTGGTTGCGGGCATATCCCCAGTAGGGGGTGTGCAAGAGGCAGCTGATCGATGACTCTCTCTCATTGATGTTTCTAACTCTCTATCTCTCTCCTTCCTCTCTGTACAAAATCAATAAAATATATTTAAAAAAAAAAAAAAGAATGCTCTTTGTAAAAACGAGGATCATAATACTTTCTAGCGTTGTTGTGAGACTCAAAAAAAGAATAAAAACATGTGTGAACGCGCTGTGGGGTGGGTGTGTAGGCTGTGTTCCTTTCTCTGGGCAAGATCAACAACCATCTACTGAACAAGAAGTGCTGAGAGGACACAAGTCCCCTTCAAGGGGAGGTGATGGCCGTGGGAACTCAGGGCGGGATCGGGGGTGGGATCGTCCATGAAGGCTTTCTAGAGGCATCAGTGGGGAGATAATGTGCAAAAAGGCCCTGGAGGAGAAAAACATGGGGTAGGGGGTGTTGGATAGTCCCTGCAGGGGCTGGGGGACGTAAGGTTAGAAAAGGGGCCTGGGGCTAGCCCAACTCGGGTAATGCAGCCATGCCAAGCTCTGCAGAGTTTGGAGCAGAGGGTCACAAGGTGATGGAGGCCTACTTGGAGAGCCATTGGGTCCATACAGGGAGCAGGGGGCTGGTGTGTGTGTGTGTGTGTGTGTGTGTATGTGTGTGTGTGTGTGTATGTGAGGCACATCGGTTCCCCATCCCCCTGGCTTCTCCCAGGAGAGACTCTCCTCAAACACCCGTGGTCCCTCGCCCATCCTGCCCACAGAGGTGGGCAAGTAGCCAGATGGGTGTGCTTGACTGAGGAATGGACTTTTGGGTCCCAGCCTCCTCCTTTCTCCTCCTCTTGGGCCCTCCTGCCAGGAAAGAATTATAGGGATGCCCCATGGGGTGGGTAGAAAGTTTAAATCTGGGAGTATTAGCAAGCTCACTATTGCTACATACTTAAGCCTCATTTTAAACCTCATCTTCACCAACAAAAATAAAGAGGATGCTGTGATCTTCTAGGACTTAGCTCTTAACTGATTGAGCATCCAGGCAGGTAAAACAGGGGTAGCATTTACTGGGTCCCTCGAAGTCCAATAGGAGGCAGCTGCAGGCTGCCGCACACGTCTAGAGAGGAGGTGATTAGACTATCCTAAGCTACAGCTGCAGACAGGGGTGGAAAGATGTCAGAGGGGCACGACCAAGGTGTGGTGATGTCGGGCAGGAGGAAGGTGGAAAAGTAGCAGCCAGAGGGCGGGCTTTCTAGAGCTTTCAAAGCACAGGGCTAGCCCTAGCCGGCTTGGCTCAGTGGACAGAGCATCGGCTACTGGACCAAAGAGTCCTGGATTCGATTCTGGTCACGGACACCTATCTCCTCGGTTGCAGGCTCCTCCCCGGCCTATGCCCTGGTCAGGGCGCATGCAGGAGGCAACCAATCGGTATGTTTCTCTCACATGGATATTTCTCTCTGTCTTTCCTTCTCTCTTTCACTCTCTCTAAAAATCAATGGAAAAATATCCTAGGGCGAGAATTAAAAAAAAAAAAAAAAAGCACAGGGCTGAGCACTGAAGACTCAGGAATGCCACTGGACACCAATCACCCGGATGAGCGCTTTGCACACATTTGTGATCCCTTTTACCCTTGCACAACATCCCCACTTTCCAGATGAGGAAACTGAGGCCCAGAGGGGAAGTAGTTTGCCTGAGACATGAGGAGAACGGATAACCCAATGGTGTTCATCTATCAGTGTTGAGTTCTGGGCACCCTAGTCCAGTGCCCTGCTAGTGAGGCGACTGATCGAGTGGAGGGGTCTGTCCACCAAGGGGCAGCGGGCTCAAGGGACTCACAAAGAACTCTGCCTGCAGCAGGAAGGGGTCCAGGGCCTTTTCGTGGAGTTCCTCGGCCTGAAGGACGCGGGAGGCACTGAGCAGGTACTCCCGGGCTGACTCCTCGCGCGGGGACATGAGGTAGCCGAAGCCCTCCTCGTTGCAGCCGGGCGTGCACATGTCCAGGGTCAGGGAGACGTTGGAGCCTCTCCTGGAAGGACCGGGCAAGGGGAGGTGAGTCCCAGGAGACAGGGAGGGGCATCAGCTTGGGGCTTGGAGTGGGAAGACGAGGGACAGAGAGACCGGGGGTGGGAACTGGGTGGGCTCCAAGGAGAGGAGAGGGGGTGCGACAAGGAGCGCAAGTCTCAGCCCCAGGCGCAGGCCTGCTCCCCACCTCCTGCTGGAGCAGCTAGCTGAGTGAGAAGTTGAGGGCCCCAGATCCAAAGGTTCCACTTGAGGCAACCTCAACACGGGCCTCCCCTGGACTCTCCTCTGTTAGTCTCGGAGGCAGCACCCAGCCCTGTGGCCCCCAGGGAACTCCCAGAGAGAGGGCACCTGCCTAGATCAGAGCAGCAGGACTCGACCCTTGTTGGCACAGTCCAGGGCCTGGCAGTCTGGGATGAGGTGGCCAATGGGTCAGGGACATCTCATCGAGGAGAGGCCGGGACCCTCGCTGTCAGGGAAAGAGGGGGTTCCGAGGGCAGCATGGCGGCCGCAAGGGTGTCTGCCCTGGACAGACTCTACTGTGTTCACTGTCCAAAGGCCCAGAACAGGAGGTGGGGGGCTCTTTATACAGAAAGGGAAACTGAGTCCCAGAGAGGGGACAAGCATTGGCAATAAGGAAACAACCTCGTGCAATAAGGGGGCAGCAGAGCTGAAACAAAAAGCTAGGTTTACTGACTCCTCAGCCAGTGCTCTGCCCATAACATCGTGTGTGTGTGTGTGTGTGTGTGTGTGTGTGTGTGTGTGTGTGTGAGAGAGAGAGAGAGAGAGAGAGAGACCTGGCTTACCCCGCTAGTCTCAAAAAGTGGGATCTGGGGGACACAGGGACACCCGCTATAAAAGTATGGTTCTGTGGTCAAGTGGCTTTGAGGAATGCCACATGCTACCCCCTTGCTGACTTACAATGAACAGGAGCACGTTAAAGGACCTGACAAAACCCGCAGTAAAGAAATGTCCTGGCGCACAGGAATGCACAGTGAGCGTGCTCATGTATGCATGCACCTGTGTATGCCCATGTGCTTGTGTGCAGTAACAGTATTTCTTAGCACTCACCCTGGGGCCTTCTGATCAGACCTAAAGAGTGTGTGTTTACACTGGCTAAGCTATGAGGTCAGCTCGGACCTGGGCACTGGGCGTTAAGAGTCAGGCATCTGACGGGGAGCCGAGTGCTCCAGGGCCCAGAGAGCCCACCCCCCCCTCCACGCCTCCCACCTCTCCTGCAGACCCATGGACTTGACGGTCAGTGAGGCGGGGTCGGCCTCAGGCTTGATGTCCATCGTGCAGTCAAACACGGGTGTCTCGGGGACGGGGTCCAGGTCCAGGAAGTCATCTTCGACCTTATCTTCCATCCACTCCGAGTAGGTGAAGGAGGGCTGGCGGCTTACCGACTGGCGCCTGTCCTCGGGGGGCAGTGGTGTGGGCGGCTCTGGGGGAGCCCTCAGGAGGTGCCACACCTGGTTGGAGGGATAGAGCATCATGAACTTGGGACCATGCTGCTGCCCCCTCGCTGGTGGAAGTAAGCCCCTCGCCCCTCAGTATGTCTAGAGCGGCCCTGCTTTCCTGGGAGCTGTATGCATGACACTGCCCCTCACAGCGATGGAGGCTCCACCCCCCCACCTTGACCCCCTGATCCTTTTCTTCCTCGACCTCTTGATTTCTTGTGGATTGAGGGCTTCTGGGTGGACTGTGGGGGTTCCTACTTGTCTTCTCCCTGCCTTGGCCCCGTTCCCCTGCCTAGAAAAACTGTAGATCAATTCTGAAGGTGCTCTCAGCCTGTACAGGCCACACGGATGGAGAGGGACAAACAGCCCATCCCTTAGACCTACCCAGAAGGTCTAATGGGGGCTGGTGGGGATCAGACCTCGGGGTCAGGAGGCACCTTACCAGGCTGGTAACGAGGAGCACAGACAGAGAGACCAGCAGCAGACTGGGGACTTCCCACGTCCCAACGCCCAGCCAGGCCTGGGGAACAGACAGACAGGTCAAGGTGATTGGTAGGGAGGAGGCAGAGTTCTCACCTGTTTCAACAGGGACAGAACCAAGGCTCTGAAAACCTCAGGTCAGATCGGGGTGGGAGCAGGGAGAAGAGCTCCAGGGGGTAGGGCTGCCTTTGGAACTCGGAGAAGGTTCACATATAGGAAGGCTCCCACCCGCTCTCCCTGTCCCGGAGGTCCCAGATACTTACCCTGGGTCCCAGCTGTTCCAGGAGGGTGGCATTCTGCAACCAGGTGGGGCCATAGCCGCTGAGCCAGAACATCCCGCAGGCAAGCTGGACAAGTGGGCGGAGTTAGACCTGAGCTCTGTGCACCCCTTCCCACTCCACCTGGCCCCGAGGTCCAGACTGCACAGCTGAGGGCAGGGCCCAGGCGCTGTGTGCCAAAGGCCTGAGGACTCTCTCTGGAGAAGAGCTGACTAAAGGAGCCAGGGGATAGCCCTTCCCAGCCATCCACCCTCCCACCGAGACAGGAAGTCCTCAGAGAGACCTTGCAGAGCCAGAGGCTTGGAAGGAGGCTGTTCTCGCTCCTGGGGTGAGGGAGGGCAGGGTGTGAGGGGTTGGCTATGGAGGGGGTAGCTCAGAACTCCAGCCCAAGGGCTGGGAGTCACTGAGGGGCACCAAGAAGGACCCTCACCTCTCCGCATCCCCAGGCGGCCAGCTGGGGAGGAGGTGGAGGGCTGTCCCTCAAGCCGCACTCTCTCCAACCCTTCCGGAGGGCCTGTGATGTCCTTACCAGGAACTGGGAGGCAGCCAACAGGCACAGGCTGCTCTTGACCGTGAGGGAGTGGCTCCAGGTGCCCGGAGGTGGCGGCTTCTGAGCTGGCTCAGAGGGTGATGAAGGAGGGGGTGGCGGTGGCATTTCTCTCCGTGGGTCCGTGAGCTCTTCGGCCTGGTCCGGGGCCTCCATCACTACCGGCTGGGGGAGACCTGCGGAAGGCGGACAGCCGGCCGCTGACTCGGGGCCCGCGGGCCCACGGCGGCCGCTCCTACCGGGGCTGCCGTGCCTTCCTCTCGATCCGGGATCCGTCAGTGTGGCTCCACTTCCAGCAGTCACCCTCGATTAGCAAAGCAATATTCACCTACCTTCGTCAGAAACAGCTAAGTGTGGGTGGACAAATTATTTCTCTTTTATTTCTCCAGTAACAGAGTTAAAATGGCAGGAGGTTTTTTTTTTCAGGGAGTTAACATCCTTGTGTTTATGCAGCTTCATTCTTTTCCATTTCTTAAGGAAACAAAAAACAACCACCTCAAACTCAATTAGAGGGAGAGAGAGAGGAGAGAAAAGACAGCACAACCAGGTTGTGCACGTGAATAATCCACCCACGCCTGCCTTCCGGATTTTTCACTTTTGTGCCCTCGGCTCTGACTGGGCTTGGGGCTGGAGTCTGGACACGTGACAAGATCCTAGCCACAGCCCTCCCCCAACCTTGAGACCCCATCCCTCCCAACCTTCCAACTGAGGATGAGTGTGGGTGGGCAGGGTGGTGTGGAGGAAAATCTGGGTGTAGTAAAACTGATTATCAAATGTCTGGAATTCAGTTCTTTTTTAAAAAAAATATATATATATTTTATTAATTTTTTACAGAGAGGAAGGGAGAGGGATAGAGACCTAGAAACATCAATGAGAGAGAAACATTGGTCAGCTGCCGCCTACACACCCCCTACTGGGGATGTGCCTGCAACCAATGTACATGCCCTTGATTGGAATCGAACTTGGGACCCTTCAATCCGCAGACCGACACTCTATCCACTGAGCCAAACTGGTTTCGGCTGGAATTCAGTTCTGGGTCTGTCCCTAGTTGTGTGACCTTGGGAGGGTCACCCTCTCTCTGGGCCTCAGTTTCCACACCTGGAAAATGAGAGTTGGGCTCAGCCCTTGGATTTCTAACTGAGCTTTATGGAGCCCTAGTATTACCGAGTCCCTCAGCCTGTGGAAGCTCTGCTTGTCCCCGTTCCACACACTGGGTTTCCTTTAAGATCATTTCAAAGCAGGGTTCCACCACTGAGACAGTCTGAACACTTCCGGTTTAGATCTGGGGCCCTGACTGCAGTGTAGGGATTCCAGCAGCAGCAGCAGCCACTTGCCAAGTCCCGGATGTGGACGACCCCCTCCAAACCCACATGTCCCAGGCTACGGCCAAGAAGAGAGGGACCAGCAACAGGACTTTGTAACGCTTGACAGTGAGGTTAGAACTGTCTACCCACTGCTGTGTATACGGGACAGCAGACTCCTTTTCTGGTTGGGCGACAATGGAACACCCACAGCAAGACCATGTGAGGCGGGCGTAGTTGTCTGTCCCATGGCCTGGACCAACAGTGCCCGCAGAGCGCAGGTCCTGGGAACAGCTGCATTTCCATCACAGGCTCCTCCTTTCCAGATGCTGACCCTGGATGGCTCCCTTCCTGCTGTGCTCCAGCCACACTCCATGCGTTTCCTCAGGGGAGCCCACCCTCTGCACTCTGCACAGGCTATTCCCTCTGCCTGGAACACCCCCTACCCCCTGACATCCCCCCACGTTGCCAAGTTACCTCCTATTCCTCTAGTAGAACTCAGTCAGTGTCCCCAGATGTAGGTCCTGCCCCATCATGTGCACCGGGCACCCTAAGCCTCTCCTTCATCCGCCAGCAGCAATACCCCTGGAATGTGAGGCTTTACCTCTGCTAATTTACTTGCTTCACAGTACTCGTATGAAGTGGGTACTACCATTATCCTCATTTTACAGAAGACCAAGATGAGGCTAGCTAATAAATGGCTGAGGTGGGTTTGAACTGAGGCAGCTGGACAGGCTCTGGGGTATATTACACTCACTACAGTTGGTAAAATTATTTGTTGAGCCAGCCAGTGTGGCTCAGTGGCTGTGCATCGACCCATGAACCAGGAGGTCCTGGTATGATTCCCAGTCAGGGCACATGCCCAGGTTGCATGCTCGATCACCAGTGCTGGGTGATTCTCATCGTTGATGTTTCTATCCCCCTCTTCTTCTCCCTTCCTTCCTCTCTCTGAAATCAATTAAAAAATATATCTAAGAACACTTATTTGTTGAATATCATCTCCCTCATTGTAAGTTCCATAAGGGCAGGAGTGGTATCAGTTTTGTTCATCACGATTGTCCACGGCATTTGACGCAAGTCCCGGCATGTAATCCTGCCATAAATACTTAGTGAATGATGATGCGTAAGTGATCATCTTTGGCTCAGTTTTCTTAATGATAAATGGGGACCATCATATGTACTCTGAAAAGGTGTTATGAAGACTATAGATAAAACATGCAGCCTGGTATTTTATCTGGAAGCATTTAGAAGGTGGGCTTGATACACATCAGATGATAGTAATGATTACCCAGGTCTCCCAGTCTCCTGGGTAAAACAGACCCGTGGATTCATGTTTACAATACAGTGCCTTCAGTGACCAATCTGAGTGCTGCTGGAGTCCCCGGGGGCTGGAGAGGGCCTCCACCTTTTTTTTTTTTTTTTTTTAATATGTTTTATTGACTTTTTACAGAGAGGAAGAGAGAGGGATAGATAGCTAGAAACATCGATGAGAGAGAATCATCGACCAGCTGCCTCCTGCACACCCCCTACTGGGGATGTGCCCGCAACCAAGGTACATGCCCTTGACCGGAATCGAACTCGAGACCTTTTCAGTCCACAGGCCAACACTCCATCCACTGAGCCAAACCGGTTTCGGCGAGGGCCTCCACCTTTGCCCACGAAGACCACAGTTAGGAATTACAGGAGCGCACAGCTCAGATCCTGGCCGGCAAGGGGGAAGGAAAAACTCAACTACTGCGAAGAGATGGATCACGCTGGAAACCGAGAGTTTCCACTATAGATACGCAGAGGTTTTATTACTCAAGTGGCAAGGTCTCCACCCACACCCTCTGAAAAAGGGATGCTGCCAAATATGGAAGGCTGGGTGGGGGGGGGGGCACACAAGCTGGGACTTTGGACCATCCCTCCTCCTCCCTGGGCCTCAGGTGCCTTATCTGTAGAAAGAGGGGCTTGAACTCCAACTCCATGCTTCTCGGATGTTCCTGCCACCCTGCTAGGACAGGGGGCTGGGTCCTGGGAGAACACAAGCTCACACCATCATGAACGTGGCTGCTCTGCTTTAAAATTCATGGGTGCTCTTTGTTTTACGCTCTGGTATATACGCACTTGTTTTAATATTAAAATAATGTGTCTCGCCCCCCCCCCCCCCCCCCCCCAAAAGCTTGGAATCAAATGTATGCTTCAGGAGAATGTGCTACATTCATCCTGTGGCTTTGCCCTCAGGAGTACATGCACCCCAGTCTGAGAAGCACGGAACTCGCCTGCAATAAAACATTATGTCAATGTTATAAATGATTCTATAGATGAATATCTAATAACATGGAAAGAAATTTCAATGCTATGGAGAAAGGCAAGGTTGCAAAACAGTATGACCCCCGTGGCCTAAAAATTAAGAAGGTGTAAATGTGCATATACAAAGGTGGAGTATACCAGATGTAAGGCAAGAGGCTGACGTGAGATGCCTGCAGAGCCTGCTGCACCGTTGATGCCTGGCCCACAGTAAGCGCTCCATAACGCACACAGTTAGTGGGAAGCACAGAAGGCAGGTGTTCACGACAGCTCTTTGGAAGAGGGTGAAATAATAGGTGACTTTTTCATTGTTTATATATTCTAGATTTTCTTTAAGAAATAAATGTGTATGAGAATATACATATGTATGTATATATATGCACATATATTTATTTTTAGTGAGAAAAAAATATTTCAAAAAAGACTTCACAGTTCTGAGATTAGATACCATGAGACTTAGTTAATATGCCCTTTTTTAGGTCCCTGACTCCCACTGGTCACATCTAAATGGATAGAAACACAGCCCTAGCTGGTTTGCCTCAGTGGATAGAGTGTCAGCCTACAGACTGAAGGGTCCCAGGTTCGATTCCAGTCAAGGGCACATTTCCAGGTTGAGGACTCAATCCCCACAGTATGGGGAGTGCAGGAGGCAGCTGATCAATGATTCTCCCTCATCATTGATATTTCTATCTCTCTATCCCTTTCCCTTCCTCTCTGAAATCAATAAAAATATATTAAAAAATAAATAAACAAATGGATGGAAACACAGACCAAAGAGATGGTTACCAGAAGGGAGGGAGTTGGGTGAAAAGAGGAAGGGGAATATAATCAATAATCCTATATAATAAAAGCCTAATATGCTAAGTGTCTGGTTGTCTGTTCAACCAATTGAAGTGTAATATGCTAATGATATGCTAAGGCTGCTCAACAGCTTGCTATGACATGCACTGACCTCCAGGGGGCAGACGCTCCAACCAGTAGGTTAGCTTGCTGCTGAGGTTCGGCTGATTAGGACTGAGTGAGACAGGCCCTGGAACCCTCCCATGGTCCCTCTCCAGCTGGCCAACCTCCCACATCTCTCCCTGGCCTCGATTGTGCACCTGTGAGGTCCCTTTCTCACAATCCAGGGGCCCTTGGGGGGGTGTCAGAGAGCTGGTTCTGGTCAGATCCAGTAGGCCAAGCCAAGGGACCCCACTGGTGCATGAATTTGTGCACCAGGCCTCTAGTATTGTGATAAGTGTGTACAGTGACAGATAATTACTAGATTAAGTAGAGAGATCACATTGTAAGGTATAAAAAATGTTGAATCACTATATTATGCAACTGAAACTAATATAACTAATAAAGTTGTATATCAACTATACTTAAATTTTTAAAAATCTCAAACAAACAAACAAACAAACAAATGCCCTTGTTAGGACATAGGAGATCATGCATGGCTGTCTGAGACGCAGCCAGCTGTAGAACAGCCACTTAGAAGACAGGCCCCTGATGATGTATGATCATTGCTTCTGCGTATGAAAGATGGCAGGTTAACTAACTTGCAGGAAAGAAAACTGCAGGCTGATGGGGCCCTGCACGCACAT